CGTTTCAAGTATACTACAAAATCTCTTTGGGCAGTGCACATTACATCGATTCCCATAGCCGAGAATCTTTTTTTAATTGTGTAGTGATTGATAACTTTGTTATGATTATTATTATTATTATTATTATTATTATTTGAGCAAATGGTATTATCTATAATAATGGATTGGGAAAGTGAGCTAAGCCTCACAATATACTAATAATAATATGGTTTAAATTTGGCGTAGGCAAAAATCAAATCCCCCCCTTAAGAGCAACTCCACCGTGGTGGATTGCTTGGGGGACAAGCTGGAGAAAAGGGCCCGAGGCCCTGTGGATGCGCTCCAGCGTGAAGGAGCCCGAGTGGAGGTGGAGGCTCGAGCTCAAGGCCTGTGAAGAATTGCCAGCCCGAAAGCCTGAGTGGATGTGACGGCAGTGCTAACGTCAGCCTGGTGTCAGGCCCTTTTTTTTTTTTTTTTTTTTTTTTTTTTTTTTTTTTTTTCTGTCAGGCACGTGCACCCACTCGGGCATGGGGGCACGTCGCCCGACATAATTTCAGAAAAGTCAACCACTTTTCAGCACTGAAATGTTGCCGTTGGAAGCCACGTGGCTTCTTATGGTCCGTTCGATCTCAACGACTTTTTAACTTGGACTGTTCGATCTCAACAGTAAAAAAAATAAAAAATTTATTTAATATCAACCGTTCGATCTGAGATCGACGGTTGATATTAATTTGCTTTATAAATAAAAAATAAAAGAAAAAATAGTTTTAAAATTAAGAAAAGTTAACGTTGTAACATGTGGCACAATCTGGAGTGTTGAATTCAAATTTTTTTATATCCAACAGCAGAAATTAATTAGTTGAATAAAAATAAAAAAAAATTGTAAAAAGTTCGAAAAAAAAATCTGAATTAAATACCTTCTCATTATCATCTACCTTACATTACAATTTCATATTTTCTCAACTACTTTCAATCAAATTCCTTTCTTTCTCTCAAAGTTTCGAACCATTTTTTTTCAACAAAATGACTACTGATGCAGGTACGAATTGGTCGCTTCTTGAAGATGTTGCGTTGTGTATTAGCTGGGTTGAAGTCACTCATAGTTAGCTTACAGGTAATGAGATGCAGTTGCGAGAAATGTGGAGTCTTATTCATACCAATTATCTTGAGAAAATTGATCGGAAAAGAATCAAAGAATCGATGTCTAGTCGTTGGAAATTACTTAGCCAATCGTCTAGTATGTGGAGAGACGCCTTTGCATAAGCTAGTACTAATATTCGAAGTGGGGAAAATTACTCGGATCAGGTAACAATATATTATTTATTTGTTTGTACTAAACCCAAATTTACATTATAATTATTTGTTTGTATTATTTATTTGTTACCTACTTACATTATAATTATTTGTTTGTATTATTTATTTGTTACCTATTTTCATTATAATTATTTCTTCTCCCGCATTGTGTAGGAACTTCAAGCACAAGCTTGGTATGGTGCCAAAACCAAAAGCAAAAATAAATCATTCAACCGGTGGGAATGTTGGAATATTGTCAAACATTGTCCTAAATTTAGAGTTGTGCCTGTCGGTCCATAAGTTTTCATGAACAACACTCCTCTACACCCTATATCCGATCATGGCTCGCATGTTCATAAAGATGATGCAGAAGAAGTGCCCGAAACGCCCCTCCCTGAACAAGCGTCGGGTTCGACCCGTTATCCAATTAGGCATCAAGGTAAGAAGGCTTCAAAGAGAAAAGGGAGTGCTTCCAAGAATGATTATGCAAAGTTCATGGAAGAACTTGCTCGCCAAGGTGAATTGACTTTGGCGAGGGAAATGGCGAAATATGAGGCTGATAAGGCTAGAGAGGACGCAAAAGCTGAAGCTATTGAGAGAGAATTTCAGGCTAAGAGAAAGAAAAAAAGCTATTTAGGCAAGAAAGGGAACATGTTAGAGAAAAAAGACGGGCTCAATGAGATCGTGAGATTATGAACACGCCTTTAGAAAGGAAGTCTCTAAATTCTACATTTTTTTGGAAGTCAGAGAAAGCGGACGTGGTGCGAAGGAGGCGTGCAAAAGAAGCGAGAGCAAGCCAAAATGGTCCTAGCACCATAACAAAAGATTATCCTAGCACCGCAATTGGTTAAGTGATGATGAATAAAGTAGTTTTTGTAATCGGAACCCATAATTTTCCAATCACTTTGGGTTGTAATTTATTATTTATTGAATATAGTACTTTATGTTGTTTACAATTTATTGAATATTTATTCAAATGAATTTGGTAAGTTATTTATACTAAGAGAATATTTATTCAAATGACAAAAACACACCAAATAAAATTACATAAGCATACCGAACAATAAAAAACTCACTAAAGCTGAACTAAAAAAATTCCATAAACATACCAAATAATAAAACACACCAAATAAAATTACATAAACATACCAAATAATAAAAAAACACACTAAATGAACTTAATTATCTTCAGCTTGTTTCAATGCCCACTAGTGCTTTATCAAGTCATTTTGCCCGCATTGTGCATGTCTAGCATTTGAAATGTAGTATATCGTTGAATGACCCTTTCATTGTAACGTCCATCCCTTTGTAATGGCTTATGTTGCACGGGCTCATCGGTGGCATCGTGAGCACAATATATACGTGTTCTTGAATTGTTCATTGTGTCTGGCCCATATTTATTAATAGCTTCATAATCGCACTCATCTTCCACAATCATGTTGTGAAGAATGATGCATGTCATCATGATGGATCGAAGCGACTCTACATCAAATCTGGTAGCACCCTTGACGATTGCCCAACAAGCTTGGAGGATACCAAAACAACACTCCACATCCTTCCTGCACCCCTCTTGACAGCTTGCAAAGTGTTTTTCCTTTGCACTTCGCGGACGTGGCACTGTTTTGACAAATGTTGACCACCTTGGGTAAATGTTGTCAGCTAGGTAGTATGGCCTGTCGTACATACGTTCATTGACCTCATATGTGACTTTTGGTGCCTTTCCTTGTGGGACATTGTTGAACATTGGGGATTGGGCAAGGACGTTGAGGTCATTTTGAGCTCCCGGAACCCCGAAAAAGGCGTGCCAAATCCATGTATCAAAAGATGCCACCGCCTTCAAAATGATACTTTTTGCTCATTTTCTGTCCCCATAAGCACCTTGCCATGCACTTGAACAGTTTTTCCACATCCAGTGCATACAATCAATGCTTCCAATCATCCTAGGAAAACCACGCATCTCGGTCTTCTTTAGAGGCCTTTGCAAGTCCATGTTTGTAGGTTTCCAGAGGTACTCTGCGGTGTAGATAGATTCGATTGCTCTGCAAAACCTCATCAAGGACTCAAAAATGGTTGATTTCCCCATCCTCGCTATCTCATCCACTTGGTCTGTAGATGCTCCATATGCAAGCATCCGTAAGGCAGCAATAATTTTTTGCTGAGGAAGGAGACCCATAACACCAAAAGCATCATTCTTTTGCACAAAGTAAGAATCATGGTTGCAAACTGTAATCATGATTTTGTTGAACAAATGTCGTTCCATTCTAAAACGACGTCTAAAGTACGTATCAGGGAATGCACTATTACGGACAAAATAATTGTCCAAGAGTTCCGTACCTCGTCGTTGCCTACTTCTATCAAGGCTTCCGGAATGGCTGGGCCTGCAGATCTGAGCCACAGCTTGGATGACTCGACGGGAATGTGAGGCTCTGCGCATTCTTGCTTCGTCATCTCTCTTTCTACGCTCCTCATCCTCTTCCCTCTCATTTTTTGCCACCTGGAAATTGAACATTTCTTTTGATTGGTTAAACAATTCTTCCTCTTCTTGATCGAGTTCCCACATCATCCTTGAGGAAGAAGAAGACATTGTAAGAAAGAAGCAAAAACTATGAATAATGATAGAGATTTATGTTAAGAAGGAAGCGGAAACTATGAATAATAATAGAGATCTTGAGAAAATTGGTGTGAGATTTGTGAGGATGGATGGTGGATTATATGGAGGATTCAGAAAGGATTAGGTTGTAGATAATACCACGTGGCATGCCGTCATTTGTTAAAAATCTGATGGAAATCTATCCTCAAAGATTGTAAATAGATTATGACACATGGCGTGACGTGATTGGTTAATAATTTTATCATTAATCCATCACCAATAATTGTATTTTCGGATAATGACACGTGGCATGCCGTCATTTGTTAAAAATCTAATGAAAATCTACACTAAAAGATTGTAAACAGATTATGACACGTGGCGCGACGTGATTGGTTAATAATCTTATCAAAAATCCATTACCAATAATTGTATTTTCGGATAATGACACGTGGCGCAACGAGTATGATTAAAAATCTTATCAGAAATTCATCCCCAATAATTGTCTTTTCGGAATTTATGACACGTGGCGCAACGAGAACGATTAAAAATTTTATCCGAAATTACAATTAAAATTATTTTGTATTATTTAATAATACTTCGGACAATGACATGTGGCGCAACGAGAACGATTAAAAATCTTATCCGAAATTACAATTAAAATTATTTTATAAATAAAAAAAATACTAATATTTTATTGCCTATTGCCAGGGCTATTGAAGTATAACGGTGGAGATACAAAATACAATTACTGTTTATTAAGATCAATTACTATTCATTAGGTGGATTGTGGATAGTGAATAACTCGAGAGAGAGGGCTCCTACGCTGAAGTTGATAATTGAAGAGACCAAGCTGTGAAGAAACTTCCTACGCAAAAAGCAACAGAGCGGTCGGACTGGTTGTTTTGGCTCATCCTTTGATGAGCACCCAAACTCCGTCTTAAATTACCAAAACACCCCCCAAAAATCCAACATAAAATCCTCTAAATTCCCAGATTCAGTACAGGACCGACCTCTGAAAATCGAAAATTTTCCAGGTAATAATATCTCTTTTTCGTTTTCCCTTCCCCCCAATTTTACTTATTTATATTTCCCTTTCTATCTTGGTCTCGGTTTTTGATTCGGTAATGTTTATCCGGAGCTGCTTTGTACTCTCCGTCTTGTTTGTTTGCCCAGAAAATCGACGGAAAATGGTACCCTTTTCCTTCTGAAGTTGTTTCAATCATCACAAAGTTTAATACTTTAGCTTAAGTTACTTAGATGATTAATCATTAGGTGTTGTAATCAAGCTATTTACTTTGTAGTGGAAGCTAATTACTTGGTCTAAAACGAAATCTTGAAAAAACTGCACGCTTGATCTGGAAGTTATAATTTCAAACTAATTTGGCTAGGGATTTGAAGAAAGCACTTTTTAAAAAGTGCTTTCTTGATTATGCTTTTTCTTTGAGTTAGAAGAAATTTCCTCAGGCAAATAGTTTCATTGTCTTATACTGCATTGCAAGTTTGCAACCCTTTTATCTCATCATTTGTCCCAATTTGTCGTCATTTGTCAGTTCAGATTCTCATAAACCTTTTTGGGCTTTCAGCAATTATGGTGTTAAGAAAGAAACATTGCATCCAAATGAAAAAGTTGACATCCTTTGGAATTTTAGTGCTAATAATGATACTGTATGTTTCTGATTGCTAGTTTTGAGTTGGAAGAGATGTTGATGGGTCATGCAGATGGTATATCTGAGCCTCGGTCATCCAAGGATCGGTTACTTCCTTATGCTGAATCATCCGAGTTAGATGATGTTGACACTGCAGACTCTTCTGAGCAAATTCTTCACACGGCCTCCTTCGAAGAGCTTGCAAAGAATATCGTTAAGTATGACACTGTTATATGGCTTTCTATATCGCTGTTGCTGGTTTTAGCTTGGGGAGTTGGCATCATTATGCTTTTATATCTGCCTTTTAAGAGATATGTTCTTCAGAAGGATGTTTCCTCACGAAAACTATATGTTACGCCAAGTGAAATAGTTTACAAGGTGCATACCTTACTTGAATTCTTCCCATGTTTCTGATTGTCTTTAAACTAAATAGAATTATTCTATTTTTGCATCGTTGCTCACACAAAAGAAAAACAATGCATTGAGGTAATACTTCTTCTCTTTCTCGTCCTTTTTCCACAAAGGTTTCGAGGCCATCTTTCATACCCTTCTGGGGCATCACTACAATTGAGAAGCATGTACCCCTTTCCCTGGTGATTGACATCATTATAGAACAAGGTACTGATACTGGCCTTACTGTGCTCTATAACCTACTTCCATTGATTCATATGCCTGCATGTATTACATGATTAATCTTTGTAATTGTTGATGTTAGTTTGCAATTTGAATTCATGCATATATGTTATAGTGTGAAACTATTATATTTCCAATGCTGCATTGTCGAACAAGATAGATGCAGGGAGCACGTAGTCGTGTAAAAAGATGGCGGATAAGGATTTGGCATGCAAAACCAGGTTTATTAAGCGCATAATGGATATTTAATGCAGAAATAAATGAAGTTACCACAGCTAGAAGTAGAATGCCAGAGAGCACAAGGTCTCTCAGTGCCTAACACTGTATAAAAGTTTGATAATGTGAACTGTAATGGATGGAAAGTTGCACATTGGTTTGGAACTTTGCATCATACATCTTCACATTAGCACGTTGATTATAAATTTGATATCAATATTCTTTTGGGTTAGCAAAACTACACTGACGTAGCCAGAACAAGTGAAAGTTTAAAGACTAATGGTATCTTCTGTTGCATTATGCATAGGTTGCTTGCAGTCAAGGTATGGAATTCATACCTTTAGAATTGAAAGTATAGCATGTGGAAAAGCCGCAGCTGTAGATGAACTACAGGTTCAAGGGGTTTCTAACCCTAGTGGTTTGAGGAAGGTGACTAAAACTGCCTTTTAGTTGTGTTCTAATTTGAATCAGCAACATTAATCAGATTCTTTTTTATATGTGTTTTGGTGGCGTACTATTGTTTAGTCTTACAACCGTTGAAAAAACTTGTGATGTTAAAAGTATAAATTGGGTGTTTGTTGTTGTATGACTAGTAGGTAATCATAACAGAAGCTTCAAAGGCCATACGAGAAAGTGCTGTAAGTTGGAAGCCTACTGCCACCACTACTGAAGGGGAAAGCGTGGCTCGTACTGGATCATTGACTGAGGGACCTCTTGTTTTGAGATCGCCATCTAAAAGCTTAAAGGTATACGTTGATGAAACTGCTGCAATAAGAACTTTTTTTCCGTCTTTATCAAACTTGTTTCAGTTCTAATTTTATTGACAACGCACTCAATTCACAATCCCTGTCCAGTTTTGTAAAGTGGATCGATGGTGTATTGATTAAACATGTTTTTTCCCATATTATGCAGATGTCAGCATCACCACGCTATGCGTCAATAGAACGCAGAGGCGTAGTACCTGGGGATTTGCTACTTAATAAACTTGACGAAGTCAATAAATCTGTGAAGGTATCTTCTCCGTGCCTTTATTTTATTTTTCTCTGTGGATCGGACAAAAATAACGTGATTTCATCTTGATAGCTGCTTGATTAATGATTTGCAAACTTCAAATTATTTAATTATAGGTGTTCAATTATTTATTTTCTGAAACTACTCATCTTCCTAACAGAGAATCGAGTTGTTAATTGAGAAGTCCCGTGCACACCCTGAGTCCTCAACTGAAATGAAGTCAGATGTACGCTAGGCCTGTAGATGTACCTTTAACAAACAACAAACGAGCAGTGAAAGAAGAGAGATGTATAAATATTTCTGCATGTGTCTGTAACTATTGGAATTGGTTACTAATGGCTTCCCCGGTTACCTCGGTTGTAGCTGTACAGGATGTTGCAACCTAAAAGCGTTTTGAACAGCGGCTCATCACGATTCCTTTTTGTTTATCTTATGGTAGAGATTTGCCGTTTCTTACTATCTTTGTAGTTTCTCATTGACTGTGATATTGCTTAGATATAATTCACTGGATGAAATTTCAGTTTTTAAGATGCATTAGTTTATGTTTCGAAAGGGAAGAAACTTCAAAGATTTTGGGTTCTCATTACCAATTGGTCATGAATAATGTTTCATAGGGCCATGTTATATCATGATATGCAAAGGACCTCTGAGGATATTTTCTTAGCCTTTGCCAAAGAGATGAAGGTCCACTGAGTGAAGGGGCCAATACATCACCCACTTCTACCGACGGAATCCTAACTTGATACATTTAGTCAGTATTCTCCATTGCTCAAATTAGTCTATTTGACTAAGTTAATCGGTATATTTATGAGACCATAAAGAAATTAAATAGAGAAATGAACATATAAAGCAGAAAAGCTCTTGTTGAGCATTTTCAAAGTACATGCTGTTTTCTTCTATCGTTGAGTTCCGACGACGATTCATGAAAATTATGCTGCATGTACCTGAGCAACACATAATACAGCAACGAAGTCAATGCATTGACATATTGCATTTAGATCACATCAGCAAAGCATCAAAAGATTGAAGTCAAGCAATCTGAAGAACCTTGTCGACCTCTACACGACGTCCCTACCAAAGTTTACCTTCCATAAGCTTGTTCAAGGAATTGGTACGCATAACTATCTCATTAGCAATGCTTGTAGTTCTCATTTGGAAGTTTTGTCTAAGTCAAGGGGAGTATCCTGAAGTATACTCACTTGACCTTAATGTACTTTTTTCCTACGATTATGTCTCTACCTTACTAGGTTTTAATGAGACATTCATTCTAGGTTGGTCATACTCTTATGACCATTCTACTTGCGTACCGAAGACGTATAGTTTTGACTTAATGCAACTTCTCACGTTTCTCCTTAGGCTATGAGTTTTTATTCTATCTTGGATTTTACCATAGCGAGGTTTTGTGAATTTTACTACCTATGTATTCTTCCGTTTGTTTTGAAACTCGCGTTGGCTACTTGTGTCGACTAGACAAGATGACTTCATCAACTGTTTCTACATTTGCCTTAAGACCTGATACACTATCCATTTAAGTATTTACACACTCAAGGAAAGTGTTGTGAATATACTTCTAGCACATGTGTGATTGTGTAAATCATTAGTAGATTGTACTTAGGATATTAGAAGACCATTTCCCTTTAGAATTGTATTACTTGCAAGGCAAGAAATCCTCCTAGGTTTACTATAAACTAGTATATGCCCACATACAAAGTATGTGAAATTTTTTACTTTTATTTTAAAATTGAAAGAGAGAGAAAGAGAGTCAGAGAGAACGTGGGAGTGGGGAGGGAGGGAGAGATGTTTGTTTTTTTATTTTTTTATTTTTTTTTGTAAATGTGAGATGATAAAATTACCTGTAGGTGATGTTTAAAAAAAAATAGCAAAATTTTGTTTTGTGAAATTACATTACTGTCCTTAGCTTTTTTTTTTTTTTGTGTGTGATATTAGACAAAAATGACTTTTCACGCTCTTTTGGTTGACAAAGAGGGTTTTATTAATATGTAGTTATGCATGGGGAATAACACACAGAATTCCTCAAGCCTATTCTCCATCTCTCTCAGATAAAATAAGTCATAACAATTAGGTTATTTTGTTAAGAAAGAGTTTAGGGAAGCCATTTTCATTAAAGCTCTCAAAATTTTTATGAGTGTGTTGTAGGCCTATTTAACTGAGCTATTCTAGGAGAATAGAGAGAGGAGGCTGCGGCAGTGAGAGAGAGATTTAATTGTGAGGTATGTGTGTATCACCCCATTGTGCCTTTATTTATAGTAGTAGGATAGGTTAAATCCTTACCCTTTTAGGATTACAACTCTCATAGGAATTAGACTACTAAAAGGAATATAAAAGATATCCTTAGATACACTAGGATTTACACAATCACATTCCTATTCTAAATATGACTGTAACACTCCCCCTGGAGTGTGTAAATACTCAAACAAAACATCGCATCAAATCTTCAGTAGATAAGGTAGAACAGTTGATGAAGTCGGCAGCACAGCGGGCTAATGTGAGTCTCAAATTTAAAGAAAGTATGCACTGGTAGTAAAACTCACAAAATCTTGTTATGGTAAAACCCAAGGTGGGAGAAAAACCTATAGACTAAGGAGAAAAGTGAGAAGTATGCAATGTCTAAACAAACGTCAAACAGGACAAAAGTTGTGAACTCAATAGAGTATGATCATCCCAGGAGGTGCCTTATTGTAACGATCTGTCCCCAAAAAATACGGTTTTTATAATTTTGGAATGTGGAATTACAAATATGCCCTTCGAGGCAAATACGTTGACTTTTGTGGACTGCCTTGTCATGTCACGTAAGATCCGTTTTCTTGGCGTATCCTTGTAGTCCTCATCACTACAAACGCGTGGATACAAGAGGAATCAATTTGAAGTTATTAACAAACGAAGATGAGGGCAAAAGGGTCATTTGACCATAAATCTGGAAGGCTTCAGATTTTGTTGAAGCAATTAGTTGATGCCACGTGTGTGGCTGAGATAGAAAAGAAAGGAGAGAAAAGGAGGAACTGGACCAATCATAAAAAGGCGGAGGTGAGGAGTGATCAATGAGAAAAGAGATCAAGGAGGGAAATGAGGGAGAAGAGAAGGAGGGGAACCAGTCAGGTTCCTCTTGACCCGCATGACCCGACCCTGTTCCTTTAGAATTTTCTGATGGTTTTCCGTCGATTTCTTTAGCAAACCACGTCAAAAAATCACCTAGAAACCACTCCACGCCCTCCCCTCTACTAATCCCACCCCAAAATGGAAGAAATTGGACCCGATTTCAAGAAGAATCGCACCGATGGGTATGGTGGTTCCATGGTAGTGATCCATTCTTTTCTGAAGCCAACTCCATTGAACACCACCACCAATGGATTCCCCTCAACCTCAGGAACAAAGCCCATGCATTGGTTATGGTGTTGGAGCTTGTTTGGAGTCGAATCAAGAACACCTAATTCTAGGGTTTCCAGCGGTTCTAGGGTGATTTGAGGCGTATCCTGGCTTAATTGGACTTCGACCTAGGTATGAAAGTTGTTCCTCTCATTGAGATCTTCATTTCTGTAAAATTTGGGAATTTTTGGAGTTGTTGAATTTTCATATGCATCGGGGCTGGCCGCCACTGTCCAATGGCGTGATGCATGTGGGAAAACCCGAGGTCCTTCCTTAGGTTTTTCGACGTGCCGGATTCGAATTTGTCATTCATTTTCACAAATTCTAATGTTTTAGTATAGTTTTACTAAATGGTCCCTAATTGTGTTTAGGCGCGTTGGCGGGAAGCGACGTCATCCTCTCTAGCTTGAGTAGCTCTTGGGCAATAAAATATCTGTCAGTGGACCCTTTCTTAACTATTGTGTTTTATAAAATATTAGCCTAGCATGCATTGCATATTCTATGATTTTAATATGTTTTATATTATAAATTATGAACTTTTATAATCATGGTTTACAAAATAGTTTGATTTGTCAAAATCATGTTTTATTAAAGGTTATGAAATATCAAATTTGCAATTATGGATTTCTATGGATTTATTATGGTTATAAAGATGGTTAAAGCTAGAAAGTTATATGATTTTATGAGATGATGCTTTAAGCATTTGAACTCCGAGATTTAATATGAGTTTTTGAGACAAGTTTTTGGTACTTATCTATTGGGTTATCATACGGCACATCTGCATACCATGGATGTCTATGGCCATAGGACACAATTGATGAGGAGAAATGAGATATGATATATGATATACCCTTAGCTTCACTGCGGAAAGCAGTGTCGGATAGCTTTACTAGCCACGGCTAATGTCGGTGTGGATGTATGCTATTTTGTACAGCTTCACCTTCCGGTAATGGACAGGTTATTTAGCTTCACCTTCGAGTGATGGACAAATACTGTCTTCGGGCGACTATGATACCCCTAGTTGAGTACTTCATTGATGAGATTTACGGATTTGCCTTCGGGCGGCATTTTCAGCATTAATGAGCATGGTTTTACACATACATGTTTTACGAATGTTTTGCATGGCATGGTAGGGTTTTTCATAAAACCTATATGTAGTATTATATATGTATTTTCAAAATAAGGGGTTATTATGGTCAGAAATAAAAATGTTTTCCTATTATTAGTATATTATTATAAACTTTGGTCCACTCACCTTTTTGGTTTTGCGCCCCCTCAGGAGTTAGGATTGAGGCACATGATCCTGGCGTCAAGGCACTTCGGCTTAGGTATCTTCAAACCTCTTCTGTGTGAGTCTCATTCCTTGGTTCATACCCTTCTATAATAATTCTTTCACATTATTATTGCTTAGTTTTATGCTTTGAACACAATTATGCTTTGGTTTAATCTGTTCTAATTACATCTTTTAGTTATATGCGTGTTTAAAATGGCTTCGTCACCCTTGGGATGTGTAACTCATCAAAACCTCGTTAGGTAACAAAAACCCAATGGGAAAAATGCTTATAATCGTAGGAAAAAAAGTACATTAAGATGAAGTGAGTATGCTCCAGGATACTCCCCCTGAGTTAGACATAACTTCCAAATAAAAGAACCACAAGCAATTCAATTAAGATAATTTACGCATACCGATTCCTTGGATCAACTTCTGAAAAGTAGACTTGGGTAATGACTTGGTAAAGAGATCGACTAGGTTGTCCTGGGAACGAATGTGCTTGACTTCAATGTTCTGATGTTGTTGTTACTGATGAGAATAAAAGAACTTCGGAGCTATGTGCTTGGTGTTGTCTCCCTTGATGTATCCTTTCTTTAACTGCTCGATACATGCTACATTGTCTTCAAAGATCGTCGTAGGAAGGTCAACGATAGAAGTAAGACCACTAGTGCTTCAAATATGTTCCATAACTGCTCTCAACCAAAAACACTTATGCGATGCTTCATGCAGGGCAACAATCTCAACATGGTTTGAAGAAGTTGCAACTAGTGTTCGCTTGGTAGACCTCCAAGATATAGCGGTGTCTTCAACGGTAAAGACATTGCCCGTTTGAGAACGTGCCCTATATGGATCAGAGAGATATCCAACATCT